CCCCCCCAGGCACTTTGGAGACCTCTGAGGCCATCAAGTCCAAACGAGGAAAGGGAGTTGAAAGAAAAGCAAACTTAGAGCTCAACACGGGCGAACGGAGAGGAGAAAGAGGTGGGGAAACGCTCACAAGGAAGAGACGGATTTGAACTAGATTACATGGCACTCCTAGACTCCAGTTCAAAGCAGATACTCTGGATNCCCCCCCCAAGGCACTTTCGGAACCTCTAAGGCCATAAATCAAGTTCAAACAAAAAGTAGCTGAAAGAAAAGCAAACTTAGACGTCAACACAGGGCAAACAGAGAAGAGAAAGAGCAGAGGGAAGAGACTGAGCCAGGAAGCCAAGGGAAAGACGTCTCCTCTCCCTCCCCGCTCTCTTCCCTCGCCCCCCAAGGCACTTTGGGGACGACTAAGGCCATCAAGTCCAGACAAGGAAACGGGAGTTGAAAGAAAAGCAAACTTAGAGGCCAACACGGGGCAAACGGAGGGGAGAAAGCGCAGAGGGAGGAGACTGAGCCAGGAAGCCAAGGGAAAGGGGTCTCTTCCTTCTCTCTCACCCTCCAAGGCATTTTGGGGACCGCCAAGGCCATCCAGTCTAAGCAAACACTCCGAGCCCCACGCAGATCAAGGGGAGAGAAAATAGACTGGCCCAGGGCACCAAGGAAAAGGGCTCCTCTCTTCCGCTTTCTTCAATACCGGTTTGACACTTCCTTGGTCAGGATAGATGGAACCGCGAGAGGGGTCTTCTCCTTTCACTTCCTTTTCCAGCCGCTTTGAGTCTCCCATAAGAGCGGAAAGCGGGATGTCAGTCATCCTTCTCTCCTCTGCGCCCCTCTCCTTCGCCCTCCAAGAGACTTTGGGGGCCACTAAGGCCATCAAGACGAGCTCCCCTCAAGAAACAAGGGAAAAGAAACAGAGGATAGCACAGGGCGAGGGAAGCAGGATGCCAAGGGAGAGAAAAAGGAGCACGGAGGGAAGATATTTGCCTAGGAAAGCAAGGGAAAGGACTCTTCTCTTTCCCCTTACTTTTCCATCCGCTTTGAATCTCCTGTAAGAGAGGCAAGCGGGAGACCAGTACATATCACAATAAGCATTCGTCTCCTCCGCGTCCCCTTCCCTCGCTTTCCAAGGCACTTTGGGGATCACCGAGGGCATCCAGTCGTAACTCTCCCCGGAAAGGGAGTTAAAAACAAACCAGAAACCAACGGAGGACGAGGGCAGCTGGGGTCCAGGGGGAAGAAAAAGGGAGCAGGGGAAAAGTAAGGAGGGAAGAACCTTGTCCACGAAAGGGAGGGTAAGGGAGTGAGTATTTCTCCCGACTTTTTCTCTGACTCTTGAAGACACTTGGGGGCCACGAAGGCCATCCAGTCTCAGGTCCTCCCAGCAAAGGGCGCGAAAACAAGCCCCCAAATACCAAGGGGCCCCACCGACCCACACACTGGGGGCCTGCAGACACACTATCCGCCCCTAATGTGAGGGGTCTCCACTGGGTGTCGGTCGGGCCCCTTGGTGCTTTGGGGTCTTGGTTTTGTGACCTTCCTCCCTCCCTCCCTCCCTCCCTCCCTCCCGAGTCGCACCTCGTCCGCCATTTCTCGAGGCCCCGCGAATTGCTTCCCATAAGTGATGTCCCCCAAGAAACCCAAGCCAAATTGGGACCCCCTTGTCTTGTCTTTATGACTTTGAAGAAACATGTGTTTTCTAAACCGGGGGGAGGAGAAAGAGGCGCCAGGGCTCCTTTCAAGAGACCCGCCTGTGCATTTGTTTGTGGTTTGTCAGTTTGGGGGTTTGGAAAGCACTCTTTTAACATGCTCACGGGGCGTAGCTTTAATTGGTTGCCGAGGGCAGGCTTGGGGACATTGAAAACGGGCTATTGGGGGGGGGGGTCGACTTGCTTTCAGATCTATTGCCGAAAGCATCCCAAGCGTCAGAAATCACGTTTGACAAAGGAAAAGAAAGCGGGCAATGACAAAGGCAGCCAGAGAGTCATTTCCTTCTTTTTCTTCTTCTCTTCCTCCATCTCTTCCTCTTCCTCCTCCGGAGCTGTCCTGTCGCTGGGGACAAACTCGCTCCCAAAGCATACCAAGAAGCAGGGCCCGGGCTGCCCAAATCGAAGTTGTTGTTGTTCATTCGTTCAGTCGTCTCCGACTCTTCGTGACCTCATGGACCAGCCCACGCCAGAGCTCCCTGTCGGCCGTTACCACCCCCAGCTCCCTCAAGGTCAGTCCAGTCGAAGTAGCTCCAGGAAAATAGGATCCTTAAAAACTCTTTTGAGAGCCCTGAGATACATTCAGAGCCAGTGTAGTGGACCAAGCATTGCACTATGGGTGCATCTAGGTCTGGGCAAACTTGGGCCCTCCAAGTGTTTTGGACTCCAACTCCCACAATTCCTAACAGCCTCAGGCTTAAGCGGCTGAGGGGGAAAAGGAAAGGGCCTGAGGCTGTTAGGAATTGTGGGAGTTGAAGTCCAAAATACTTGGAGGGCCCAAAATTGCCCAGATCTGATCTACACTGATCAGGCATGGGCAAACTTCGGCCCTCCCTCCAGGTGTTTTGACCTTCAACTCCTACAAGTCCCAACAGCCAGTAGGCTGTTAGGAATTGTGAGAGTTGAAGTCCAAAATACCTGGAGGGCCGAAGTTTGCCCATGCATGCTATAGAATCAATGCAGCTTGACCCCACTTCAAGTGCCATGGCTCAATGCTGTGGAATCCCCGGGAGTTTCAGTTTTACAAGGTCTCTAGCCTTGTCTGATGAAGCACCACTCCTTTTTGGCAGAGAAGGTGAGAGACCTTGTGAAACTACAACTCCCAGGACTCCACACCATTGAGCCATGGCAATTAAAGTGATGTCTAATTGCCTTGATTCTATAGTGTAGATCAGGCCTGGGCAAACTTGGGCCCTCTAGGTGTTTTGGACTTCAACTCCCTCAATTTGTAACAGCCTCATGCCCTTTTCTCTCCCCTCCCCCCCCCTCGGGGACTGAGGCTGTTAGGGATTGTGGGAGTTGAAGTCCAAAACACCTGGAGGGCCCTAGTTTGCCCAGGCTTGGTGTAGATGCAACCCTAGACATCACTTATGAGAGCCCTAAGATGTGGTGTGGTGGACTATCTTGACTCTGAAAGACACTGTTCGGATTCTCCCTGGGCAACCTTGGCGGGGTCACACTTTCTCAGCCCCAGGGGAAGACCAAGCCCTTCTGGGAAAAGGTGGCCAAGAAACTCCTGCGAGAAGATAGATAGGCACAAATCCGCACACAACCGCGACAAATGTGTCCCAGCATCTCTCAGATACACATACTCCTCCCCCTGCCTCCCCCCAATAGGATTTTTTCCCCTTTGGCATTCAGCATGGCTGGGGAGAGAAGGGAAGGAAATGGCAGCTCGTTTGCCAAAGGAAAGGAAAGCGATCCGGGAAGAAAGGGAGGCGGGGAAGTCGTTATCTCGCAGCAACAGCAGGCTGCTGATAAGAGCGAGATAAATAGCTTTTGGCCCTCGGCTGCCGCCCGCCCCCTCCTCGGTGCCTGCCTGTCGAGAGCCGAGCTCTGGCCTCCAGCGCCGTTGGGCCCGGGCTCCTCGCCATCAAGGTGTGCAAACAAAGCAGGTGACAAGAGCCGCGCGGTGATTGTCCCGGGCAGCGAGGTGTTTGACGTGGACGGTGCCAGGGGCGGGGAGGGGGCAGGAAGGAAAACATTGGGAAGCCTCCAAAGGATTCGTTGAAAGGCTCCCGAAGAACTTGGCTGCAGTCCAGGCAATCTTTGCTGATAGTTACCAAGGAGAAACCTGGTCGTATTTTTTTAAGGGAGCCCTCCCCACTTCTACTTGTCATCAGAGCCTGGCAAAGTTATCTTTTGGGAAAACAATGCCCAGAATCCCCTTTCCAGCCATTCTCTATTAATGAAGAAGGATTGAAAGCTTGACTTTCAGTTCTACACTGTAGAATTAATGCAGTTTGAGACCATTTTAACGGTCCTGCCTGGATGCTATGCAATCCTGGGAGTTGTAGTTTTATCAGTTTATTGTCGAAGGCTTTCATGGCTGGAATCACTGGGTTGTTGTAGGTTTTTCAGGCTGTATGGCCATGTTTTAGAAGCATTCTCTCCTGACGTTTCGCCTGCATCTATGGCAAGCATCCTCAGAGGTTGTGAGGTCTATTGGAACTAGGAAAATGGGTTTATAGTCGAAGGCTTTCATGGCTGGAATCACTGGGTTGTTGTAGGTTTTTTGGGGCTATATGGCCATGTTCTAGAGGCATTATCTCCTGACGTTTCACCTGCATCTATGGCAAGCATCCTCAGAGGAACCTCTGAGGATGCTTGCCATAGATGCAGGCGAAACGTCAGGAGAGAATGCTCTCTAGAACATGGCCATATAGCCCGAAAAACCTACAACAAACCCTAGTGTGAGGTCTGTTGGAAACTAGGAAAATTGGGGTTATATATCTGTGGAAAGTCCAGGGTGGAAGAAAGAAATCTTGTCTGTTGGAGCTAGGTGTGAATGTTCAATTGGCCACCCTAATCACCTTTCAACAAAGGATTCCTCCAGACAGTAACAAGCCACACGAAAAACTGTCAGGCCATCAAATGCTAATCAAGGTGCCAATTGAAACATTCACACCTAGCTCCAACAGACAAGAGTTCTTTCTCCCACCCTGGACCTTCCACAGATATATAAACCCATTTTTCCTAGTTTCTAACAGACCTCACAAGCTCTGAAGATGCCTGCCATAGATGCAAGTGAAACGCCAGGAGAGAATGCTTCTAGAAC